GTCGTAGCATATATCGTCACAAACAGAGCTGCCCGGTAAGCCGTAGGCAGAGAAAGAGAAGAGGACAACAAACGAGGGGCTGTGACAAACTGTTTCGTCGGAGTTTCACCGACTCATCAGGAGGCTGAACCCTATATATATATATATACAGGGTTGCCGATGTTCGGGACGGGCCGAACGCCCGAACCCGAACTCCCGAACATTCGGCACCCCCCCTCGACGCGTTCGGCCGTTCAGCGGAACGCGGACCCAAAAAAAAAAAGAGGAATTCCAAAAACTCTGAAAAACATATATGTTATGCAGAAGAATAAACTAAACAACATTTGCCTCAACATTACATCCAAATTATTTACCAAATTTGAAATAAAAATCAAATACTAAAAATAAATAATAATAATGAAAATCAGAAAAAATAAAACGAGAATGAAATTATTGAGTGGGGGAGCACGTTTTTGACACCACCATCTTTGGAGATTTTTCATTTTTGTTTGGCTGTGACAAATGCCATGAAAAATTATATATGTTTATCTTACATAATAAAGTTTGAAAAAATAATACTTTTTTTCATGCCCTGAAATAAAGGAAAAACAAAAAATGCACAAAACAAATTCAGAAAACAATAATTATATTTAGGTTTCAAAATATTTTTTTGCGGGGTCCAAACCCCTTCCGGTTCAGGCCCCGTACGGGGACCCGAACGCCCGAACGTTCGGGGGTCAGCTTCAGGGCCTTCGTACGTTCGGCCTGACAACCCTGTATATATATATATATATATATATTGACGATATATATATATATTGACGATATATATCGTCAAATATATTACTCCGACGAAACAGTTTGTCACAGCCCCTCGTTTGTTGTCCTCTTCTCCCTCTCTGCCTACGGTTTACCGGGCAGTTCTATTTGACGATATATATATATACATATACATATGTCTGTATATATATATTTGTTTGTTTGTGTCCTGACGGACCACCGATTAGATATTAAACTGACCAGAACAGATACTACACTTGATCTTACTTAGCCAAATGGGCGAGAAAGGTATAGAAACATAAGTTTCATTGGCATATTCAGAGGTGACATGTTTAATTGAAGTTCGTTCATTTTGTGAATCTCTTTCTTTCTTTTACATCCACATGGAAAATATGTTGCAGCAAACAAGTCATAAGAGTGCATCTGCATCTCTGTGAGGACAGGCCTCATGGTTTACACTGGGTTGTCGTCTTGCAATTAGAGTGGCCTTTTTACTCCATTTAGTAAGAGTCAGTGATGAAACCAAAACATGCACCTTATTTTTCTGCTCTCTCGTTAGAATTTTCTTCTTGAAACCACCAGTACTTCCTCGAAGCTCGGCAGTAATCGTGCCAGTCTTTGCTACGGTGCCACGACTGATCGTCAGGGATGAATCTGTGCACGCACGCCAGGCTCATACTTCCTAGTGCACTGTAGCAACGAGCACCACCAAGCTTTTTGGAAGTACTTGCAGTTTAAGCAGAATCTCGTTATGCCCATGGATAAGTAGTCCAGCCCCCTGCTGGTTTGTTTCATGTGTTGCACACAATGAATACTCTTTCCTCCGAAGCTTGGCCCGAGCCGCCAGTTTAGGGAAAGTTTGTCGGCAGCCGGCTTATAGATGATGCATGCATATTAGTGAAGTGCAGTCATAAGCATTCAGCCTGATTCAGGTATGTTTTGAGACGGATAGACAGTCACCTTTCTCTTGAAAAAGAACAGTGATTGTGGTGAGTTGCCATGCTTGAGCTGCAGGTTGAATTTTGGCCAAGAGTCAGCTGCCAGCATACATCTATGATCTATGTCTAGCACTGCACAACAATCAAGATGTTCTGGTCGGCAGAGGAAGTATCCTCAGGCTGTTCCTGAATCTTCAGCATTACATAAGTCCTACCTAAGCACAACTTGAAGGACGTGTCCAAGAACAGGCCCATCTGTCCCACCTTACAGTGAGCCTACCAATGCCACATGTAGAAGGATAGCAAGGGGTCTGAACAGGATGATAAAGTCTATCCCGGTGGGCAGTCACTTCGACGTGGGATCTGTTGCAGAAATGAGTGAAAGACTGGGAAAGATCAACGCCAACTTCGCCAAGGTTAAGAAGGAAGGAGAGGAATGGAGTATTGAGGGAGCCCCTTTTAATATAAAAGATATGTTCACCTTGCTCCCTCATGATGCCATACTAGAATCGTTAGACCAGATATGTGAGTGGACCAGAGTAAAAGGCTACAAATTTCAAATTTGTGCAGTGCCACGTGAAGAAGCAAGGGAAGGGCCCCAAATTGTCAATGAGGAAGAGTGAAGAGGGATGGTGGAGTTTTAGCCTCCTGGAGGTTACTCTTTGAGGCAAAGTGAAAATAGATGGGAAAGTTGGAAAACCTCACCGCTATGAAACCCTCGTATTCATTTTCCCCCAAACGGGGCAAAAGATGTCGCAGGCCCCAAAATGACTTTTCAAGTCATTTTTGCACCCTGGTTGGGCCGTTACGCCCGCTGACAAAGATGGCAGGATAGTGTTTCCCAGGGTGCCAAAATGACGCAGAAAGTCATTTCGGGACCTGCGCCACTTTTTGCCTCGCTTGGGGCCGAATGAGTACAAAGGTTTCATCGTGGGGACGTTCTATACTTTTCCCAACATAGATGCTAGGCTCATGTACCGCTATGGACCAGACTGGTCCGGGATTATGGGACAGAGGAATGAAGCCATTTCTTTCGTTCTTTCTTTCTTGCTTTCTTTCTTTCTTGGACACTTCAGTAGAGTCATAAAAACGAGTTATTATTGCACTATGGGGCAAGATACAGTTTGCAATTGCACTTCAGGCACCCTACCTGGCCAGAAAGCTGGGTTGTATACATTGCCTGAACTGCAATTCGAAACTGTATCTTGGCCCGTAGTGCAATTATAACTCATTTTTGTGACTCCCAGGTAGTTTTCCCTTCTTTCTTTCTCTCATTCGTTCTTTCTTTCATTGTAGTGTTGTAGATTCAAGTATGCCGCAGTTATATTTTAATCAGCTCCTATAATCTTCTGAATCTGGTCGGTTTTGTAGGGTAGGTACTGCTGAAGTCTTTACCAGTGCGGGATTTGCTTGGGTACCTGTTTTGTTTTGTTTTTTTTTTTGAAAAAACTGCACCTGTGACTGCTGCACACTTCAGAATTCGCGGAAATAACAGTCCACTCCTAGCTCAGGCCAAGACGAGTTGGAAACTGCAAGAAAAACAGTAAATCATGCATTTACCGGTTCAATAATTGGCAAAAACGGGAGGTGGCATAGGGGTACCACTCTTTTTCCCGTGGCCTGGGCTCGGAGCAGGTACCTGGCCGTGATTTTTGTTGTGAGGCGCGTGGGCCCTCACAGATCCATATTAGTGCCTGGCGCGTTTCCACATCGTCTTCTGCACCTGTTCGGCCCGCTTCCGCCGCTCTTGCGCCCTTGTTCACCCCCCCCTTCCCCAAAGTCTCCGCATGTCCCAGAAAGTGAATGGCATGCACGGTTCCGTTCCGTGCTTGTCTCCACATAGCACAAGGTGTATCTGGTCCCAGAAGCCATTCCCATTCGTTTTGGACCAGCCAAGAAATCAAAGGAAAGGAATGCCTGCCACAATCCCGTTCGGATGCAACGGTCTGCATATTCATGGGGAATGGGAACACAAATACTTGCCATGCATCAGGACACACCACTGTGCATTATTCATTACCATTGTGTTGTATGGCCACATGGCTCCACCAACAGAAGCCATTCTGATTCGGCTTTTTTTTTTTTTTCCTGATTTGTTTTGGACCAGCGAAGAAACCTGGCCCCGTCGTTGACGGGCCTCTGGCATCAAACTCTCCATCTTCAAGCCCTTCACCAAGCAATCCCTCCGGAGTGGGTAACGATTCTTCGATCCGGGATTGTTCTTTCACAAGGTGGATGGTTTAAGAGAACACACGATCATGCTCCCTCGCTTTTGTGGAAAATAGAATCAATTGCAGACCCACAAAATGTGCAAACCTCATGCTGGGAGACATCTCCACTGACTGCGACTACATCGCAAGGACCACCGCTGATTCAGGCACAACTGGAGACACCACTCCCACCTTTGACTGAACTGCTGCCTGTGTGTGTACTGGAATATCCAGACTCCTACTCTGTTCGCCCCTTCTCTTTAGCTACACCATCGTACAATCTGCCATTGGACCCTGGGAACTGGCATTGGCCACCGGGACCTGCGAATAAAGACAGTGTTCACTGTTCCGTTATATAGATAATAGATGCACCACACGCATGGGCTACCAGATCTCTCGCCCGAAAGTAGATGTCAATTGGAAAGTCACCAAAAGATGGATGTCGACAGGGTGGATACATGACACCCACACGAGACTATCTCGAGCTCTGCCGGCGTATTGGAAACTGTTGATGGAACTGCCAGTGGTCAAGCAAGCCAGCCTTTTGTGGCTACTGATGCATATGGCTGTACCCACTGCTCTTCGGTGTGCCAAAAGAACATCGAAGGCCTCTGCCCTCTGTGCCCCGTGCCCCGGAGTCCGGATTAAAGACCTGCAACATTTTTGTATTCACTGTGACCTGTCGAGACCCCTGTGGATTTGGTGGCGTTCAGGAATGGTTCCGATCCCGCAACCGGAAACACGCTGGAACGATGATTTTATTATTTTGGGTGCTGCGTCTCGTCGAAAGCACCGTGACACTCCACTAACATATGCGGAGGAGTGTTTACATGGAGCTGTGCTTTGGACTTTGTGGACTCTCAGAAACTCGGCTGTACGAGGGGTGGGGAAGTTCACACCACCGATGGTTCGTGCAGAAATCAAGTTCTCTATCAAACAGACATTGTCAACCGAATGGTCGCTTAAAGTTGTTAACAAAGGGTTCTCTGCAAAGGCTCTTAAAAGATTCCACACACACTGGGCCCAGTTCACAGGTTTGGTGGTGATGTCTGCTCAATCTGGCGATACTCCGGAACTTAAATTTTCTTCCTTTTTTCTTTAGGACGTTTTGTTTACACATTTATGAACCTTCCTTTTAGTAAGTTCCCTTTTCTGCATCGCTTCATCATTGTAGAAATATTACTTGTAAGAGACATTGACTGCTCTACTTCTCCCCCTGGCCTTCTTCTGGCCTTTTGGTACATAGTATTACAGGATGAGTCTGTTCAGTAGAGGCAGTTCAGTAGTACAACTGTTGTTAGAACGTCGATATTAGTGGTCACACATTGATTTGCTTCAATTTCTGGTTTTCTTTCTGGCTTTCAGTACATGACATTAAGGTGAGGGAGGGAGGTTAATATTACAACTGTATAATACTTTTAGTCAAATAGTGATTTGTTTCTACATCCTGGTTTTCTTTTTGAACCTTTTTGTGCATAACATCATTGTGAGTGACAGTTTAGTTTTTGGGCTTGACCGGTGATGTCTCGCCTAAAAGCCGGACTGTGGAATTTTTGTAAGGGACGCCAGGCCCGTTTCCTGGCTTTTGTAATATAAGGAATGTGTTTTGTGCAAAAAAAAAAAAAAGGACTGTCGGTGTGACGCACGTGCAGAGGGCACGTGCGGAGATGGTGAGAGAGAGAGTGAGAGGGAGGAGATGGACACACACGAGAGGTAGCAGCTGAGTGAAGGTCCAGTCCGGCTCCATGAAAGAACGAACCACTAGATGAATGAACCTGCCGCCCTGGACCTAGGCCAAAGTGATATACCGGCCTGGGTCCAGTAGCGGAATAACCTGGTACCGGACCAGGGTCAGGCCGGCGGCCTGAAACTGGTCCGGCCTCACTGCCGGGCCGGAGGGATACCGCTCCACGATCCTCGGACCTGTAAATGGATCCAGAGATACATCAAAACRCGYTATCCGCTGAAAGAGCGGGAACCCAAAAGGAACGGCCAAAGAAAAACAATCCTAAATGCGGAGCAAGCTCCATGCAGGAAAAAGGGATGCAATGCAGACTAAGCCGCAAGCCTAATCTATACAACAATGTCTGGTCTGAGTCGACCCAAAAAGCAGAAAAATGTCTGACCTGTGTCGGCCAAGAAAGAGAAAAAAAAAGAAAAAAGTCTCATGAGACAAGTAGGCTGAATATAAATCAACATCAGGGCCCTAAAGGCCAAAGAATAGCTAAGCCAATGTCCTACGTCGAAAAGAATGTGGCACAATCTCACGTGCTCTGTACACAATGCACAATGCCTGAACAGAAGTGGAAGGAACTCAGTCGCATGGCAAAGGTAGGAATAGGTGGGAAGGCGGTAGGTACAGCTCTTAGAGTAAACTCCAAGGGGGCACCCACACAACCAGGTAGGGGACATCAGGCTCAGGGAGGGAGCAACAGCACGACACCGGGCTCGATGGAAACCATCAAACGGGCACCGCCAGCTGAAAGGGGAATGACACTCACACAAGGGAGCACGCATAAGGTGAGCCTGGAAGGAGAGAGGGCTATGCCGGCATAGACATGTGGCCCAAGAGCCGCGAGCAAAGAAAACATACATTCCAGAGGAGGGCGCGCAGCATAAGGTAAGGCAGAAGGGCGGCAAGCGGACACACCCACATAGACAGGGGAAATAGGGGTCATCATGCGACTGGGGGGGTAAGGATACATGGAGATGATGAGAACTCCGTAGCCGAAAGCGTGAAGTAGTCCAACTGATGAGTCTCCAGACTGAAGTCGAGTCGAAGTAGCCAGGATGAAGTAGGAGTAATGCAGACAACCAAGTAGAAGTCCGGAATCATGTGACATGTACGCTGGTACTTAGCAGGAGCACTGAGATCGAAAAGTCGAATGTAGAAGCCGAAACCGGGAGCAACTGCATAAGTGTCCAAGAGTGGTAAAAGATAGATGGCGTATAGGGCGTAAGATCAGTCATGATATCGAGAAGGAAGTCGATGGTTACGCTGAGGGCGAGAGGACTCAACTGCGACGACAGGCGGAACCACATCCACAGGGGGAGGAGGGTCTGGGGCAGGTACCAGTGGAGCAGGAGGACCCATCGATGAGGGGGGGGGGATGTTAGTGGTCGCTGAAGTAGATGGATCAGTAGAAGGACGAGAGGTAGAGGGGATGATGATGAAGGGAAAGGATGAGCACGATCGTAAGCACGCACAAAAGTCATAGCATGCTTCATGTGCCCAAGAGGCTCCCACGTAGACTCCTCGTCAGGGTAACCCTTCCATCGAACAAGATACTCGAAGCGGGGAGGGTCACCATCTGTCATACGCCGAGACACAATATCAGAGACGACAAACTCCTCGTGACCTTCAATGATGATGGGAGAAGGGCGAGGGTAAGGTCGACCGTGAAACTCAGGAGGATACCGTCTGAAAGGGCGCAAAAGGGATACATGAAACACATCATGTAGGTTAGCGCGATACATGGAATCGGGGAGCTTCAATTTGAAGCTCACTGGATAGTCATGATTGGGTCCGGCGGGTGCGAGAATGGTGCATGATCCGATATATCGACGTCTGAATTTCCGAAGCGTGTCGGCTTCGGGCTGGAAGTGACGTGCGTCGACAAGGACCTCATCGCCAACTTTGAAGGGATAGTCAATGCGTGAGCGGTTGGTGCGGGTCGCCATGCGAGTCTGGGAGTGAGCAATGCTCTCTCGAGCCTTGTTAAGGAGCGCATCCATCTCCTTTACCCACTCATCGAGAGTTGGGCATTTGGTGTCAGGGTGAATTTGAGATGGACGGAGGAGATCAGATGGGACACGGGGGTGATATCCCAGGTCACAGTAGTAGGGGGACATGCCGGTGGCGGGAGAAATAGCGTGGTTATAAGCGATCTCTGCATGAGCAAGATGAAGATCCCAATCAGAGTCATTCTCAACAAACTTCTTGAGGATAGTCCCAAGAGTTTTGTTGGTGACCTCAGTCTGTCCGTCTGACTGGGGGTGGTAGGAGGAGGAAAGGCGAAGCTCGGATCCATAAGTCTCATGGAGTCCACGCCAGAAATGAGAAGTGAAGCGGGGATCGCGATCAGAGACAATGCTAGTGGGGAGACCATGATGAATGGCAATACGGTTAAAGTACAGAGTGGTGATGTCCTTGGCTGAACTAGCATACTTGCAGGGGAGGAAGTGAGCATGCTTAGTCAACCAGCAGACAACAACAAAGATGGCATCGTAACCTCGTGGGGTAGGGGGACAAAGTGGGCCAATGAAGTCCATAGAGACGGAGGTCCAACGCTGAGTAGGAATGGGTAAGGGCTGAAGAAGGCCGTAGGGAGGGTGGTTGGGAATGCTGGCCTCCTGACAGGTCCTGCAGGTGCGAACGTACTCTGTCGTGAAAGGACGGCGGTGCTCCCAGTAGTAATGGCAGTAGAGTCGGTCAAGGGTCTTGAGGATACCGAGATGACCGGCAGCACGCTGATCGTGACACTCAGCGACAGCTTGAACACGAAGCTGGCTGACAGATGGGACACATAAGCGGGGAGTACGGTTACCTTGGCGACCAAGCCAATATAGGAGTCCAGAGGGGTCGAGCTGGAAGTTAGGGACAGTCTTGCCGGCCTGTAAGTCAGCGTAGATGGACTGAAACTCGGAGCACTGGGGGTATGCCGACCGATACTCATCTAGGAAAGCGGGGTGGATGATGGGGAATGAAATGGCAGAGAGCTGGCGATCATCGCACTGAAGATCGGGGCGGCGAGATAAGGCATCAGCTACGCGATTGCTTTCCCCTGTAATCTTCTTGATGGTAAAGTCGAACTCTGCGAGATCACGCCACCAACGAGCCTGGCGAGGGGTAAGCTTCGGCTTCGTCTGGAAAGCGGCGAGGACAGAGTTGTCCGTTAGGACGGTGAATGTGTGACCGTGTAAGTGATGACGCCACTTCTTAACAGCATAAACCAGCGCGAGGACCTCACGCTCGTCAGTAGTGTAGTTACGCTCAGCAGGAAGTAGCTGTCGAGATAGATAAGCAACCGAGCACTCTCCATCGCGAGACTCGACTGTGTCGTCATCAGCGACGTCAGGGGTGTAGGGAGGTGGAGCCCCTGAGGGGGTGGGCTCGATAGGTGCAAGTCGAGCCGCAGTCGCTGGGGGTGGGGGGGGAAAGCGAAGAATGCGAGGGAGACGAGACTCTGTGGGGTTGGGAGAAGTAGAAGAGGCTGGGTAAATCTGGGAGAGAACAGCTCCTATGGCAAAGTCGGACGTGTCGGTAGTGACGATGAATGGGCGGGAGTAGTCGGGTAGGTGTAGGACAGGGGCTGACGTGACAAGTCGCTTCAGAGAGCGAAAGGCATCCTCATGAGCCGGGGTCCAATGGAAGGGTAGACGTCCGCGGGTCAGAGGAGTCAGTTGTGAAGAGTACTGCGCGTAGTTTTTAAGAAAATGACCGTAGTAGTTGGTCAACCCCA